GGCCTCCCTGCACCCTTGCATTTCCCTCTCCCAGGCCAACTAGTGAAAAACCAGGAGCCTTGGGCAAGTTCCAGCTTTTTCCAGGGTCTTAATGACCTTATCTGTAAGATAGAAGAGGTTGGACTAGATCATCATTCAGGATCTTTCTGTTTCCAACATTTTGCAGTAGAATCTGGGAGTATCCAACCTGCCTCTCCCTCCCTGCAGCCACCTCTTCAGCCCCTCTGTCCCTCCTCCTTCCTCAGCTCGGGGCCTGGGGAATGGCTTTGAGCTTCAAAGCTGAACAAACAAACATGTCTAGGCCCACAGGAAACATGGGGTAAAGGAAGGGCATGGCTATTTTTATCATAGTTTGAAGGATTTTTCACAGCTGCATCTGTTGTGTCCACACTCCCCTGACCCAGGCTATTGGAGTAGCAGACATCACTGTGCGTGTGCTCGGAGGCGGCACTCTCCTGAAAGAAAACCTGCCCAGACAAAGGCTGAAATGCAATCATTAGGGATCCATTTAAAGCAGTTAAGCATTGCCCTTCTCCTATGTTTCCAAACCATGGGAACCCCAAGACAGGCTATACAATGAGTCAGTAACACCCTAGTATGAAGGAGACTGGTAGTTCTTAGACAATTGGGTGCTGAGGAGAGAGAAAGATTGCTCAGGAAAGTCTGAGAAGCCAATTTGCCTTATTCAAGAAACACTTATTGAGCCCTGGGCTGGGAAGCTGTTTCCAACAGCCAGGAAGGATGTGCCAAGGCTTTCCCTTTTCTACAAATTAGCATGAATTAAGTGCATTGATTTAGTGCCAGGCACCACACGTGACATCACAGAGATGATCTTAGGTTTTGTTCTACCTCCAAAATATACCCTGATTCCACCTATCTCTCTCCATTTCTGTCTCCACCACCCCAGGGCAAGTGGTCCCCCCTCACGCCTCATCCAAGTCATCACGATAGCCTCTAGCTGGTTCCCTTCTGTAAAAATGGCACCAACTGTAAAAACGGCAGCACAGCAACATCTAACCTCCTCTAACTTCATGAGGAGGGGAGAATCTTTAGCAGCATCAACAGCCCAAGGCTGATTCCTATGAAGCGGAGATCCGAGATCCGACATGCCTCCTCTCTCCAACCTTTTTACCAATTCTAACACCAGCTATCCCTCCCATGGCACTCTCTACTTCTCTGTTGAGTTCTATAATTCATTGCAATGGCCACACAGAACTCACAGTTAATACTCACGATTATGGAGTTTATTAGGGAAGTAACAGGTTACAATTCAGGATCAGGAACTACTCAGGATACAGTTCTTCGATCAGGACTGCTTCTCAGCCATGCCTACAGGCAGACCTTTCTCTGGCCCTCAGCTCCTTGGCCCCTCTGTCCAGCCTCCGCCCTGCTTGGGCAAGTTTACAAAGCTCTTTAGCTCCACTAATAAGTGCTGAGGACACCTCATTCTACCAGTAAGCCTTGGCCCAAAGGTGCTCAGCTCTCTCTTGCTCTGTGGGTCAGCGATCCTATCTCTACCAAGTGCCCAGAGTCACTCCACTCTGCCAGGAAGCCTCCTGCTCAAAGGCTCTCAGCTCTCTCGCTCTGCGGGTCGTGGGTTGGCACACCCACTGTAACTGCCTTGCTCCATGGGCCAAGAAGCCCACCACACCATCTCACACTGGTCTCCTGGTTATGCTGCCACCGTTTCTCCGCTGCTGCTTCTGGTTGTCTCTTGCTTTCTCGTGTTATAGCTCTCTCTCTCTGTCTTCTGGGTCTAGGAAGTTCTCAGCACAGGGACCCCCGGTCCAAAAGACATACTTTACTCCTGGCTCTTCTTTCTTGGTGATAGTGAGGGCCTCCCTCTGATCTGTGATTGGCTCTCGTTTAAGCCTAGTGGGATGGCAAAACTGACCAATTCCCTCATCAGGGTCCCATACACCTTATTTGCATGGTCCCACCCCCACAAGTGTTCCATGAACCTTATCTGCATTATTAGCAAGCTGTCCAATCCCCTTAGTGGACCACAAGCACCTTATTTGCATAGTCTCACCCAATCATTTTATAAGAGTCACAAGAACATGGCAAGAAAGACCATATAAAAGTGATTCATCACACCACACTCTCGCTCTCACCCATAATCCATTCTCTAAGCAGCACTCAGGGAGATTTTAAAGGTGCAAATGAGACCCCAGCTCCTTCCTCTACTTAACTCTCACCACCCACCCACCCATGGCTTCTCTTTACACCTAGAATAAAGACCCAACTCCTAATTATCTTGATCATAAAAATTTACAGCCTTGAAAACCCTATGGGGTAGTTCTACTCTGTCCTATAGGGTCGTTATGAGTTGAAATCAACTTGAAGGCAACAGGTATGGGGTTTTTTTTGGTTATAAGGCCCTATAGGGTCTGGTCCTCACTCACCTCTCTCTTTTTAAATTTAGATTTCAATAACAGAATTGGATTAAATCATCTTCAATCCATGATACACTCTCATTCTTAGTACAGATGTCATTGGTTCACTTATGGGACACTTTTATTTTTATTTATTTTTTATTGTGGTAAAACATGTCTAACAAAACATTTGCCATTTTAACCATTTTAAAGTGTAAAATTCCCAGTCCTGTGCCATCCTCACCATCATTGTTATGCTTGAGCCCATTGTTTCAGCAACTGTGTCAATCCGTCTCATTGAGGGTCTTCCTCTTTTTTGCTGACCCTAAAGTGCTAATGTAGTTAGCACTTTCAAAACCACATCTAACATAACACAGATAAATCTCAAAAGCATTACGCTAAATGAAAGAAGCCCAGAAACAAAACACACCTATAAGACGCCATGTGTATGAAAATGTAGATTAGGCAAAACTCTAGTGACAGAAAGCAGATCACCAGTTGCCAGGGGCCAGGTGTGAGGGTGGGGCTTGAATACAACCAGGCAGGAGGGAAATTTTTTTAGTGATGCAAATGTTTTATATCATGATTGTGGCAGTGGTTACATGACTATTTATATTTACCAAAACTTGTTGAATTTTACACGTAGAAACCACCCTAACAAAGCTACATTGACAATAATTGATATTGAACCCATCCTGTACCCCCCACACCGGATCTGAGCTGACCATCATCCAGAATCCTATGCTTATCATGCCTTTGTTTCCCTTTTGATATAGTTTTGTCTGTTTGTATTCTTCTAAAAATTGTATTTTAGGATTTCAGTTGTTTGAAATTCTAGGAAAAGGGTATAAGCCGCATTTAAAGGAGCCCTGGTGCCACAATGGTTAATTAAGCACTCGGCTGCTAACAGAAAGGTTGGTGGTTCAAACCTACCCGGGGCTCCATGGGAGAAAGACCTGACAATTTTCTAGGTCACAGCCTAGAAAACCCTACGTAGTTAACATCTTCAGAACTACATCTCTACTCTGTCACATGAGGTCAACTCAACGGCACCTAACAACAACAACAAACTGCATTTAATATTCTGGGACCTACTTTTTTTGCTTAATTTATATTCCTAGGAATTATCCACATTGTTGTATGTCACTGTGATTCATTCTTTTTGACTGCTGAGTAATATTCCACTGTGTGACTATACTACACGTATTCATCCATTCACCTTTGCGGAACTTTGGGTTGTTTTTAGTTTTTGCTACTGAGGACTGAGGATGGGGCTGCCGTGAACATTCTCATGCATGCCTCCGGGGGCACATGTGCCTAGGTGTGGAGCTGCCAGATCACATGTGAATTCAGCTCTAGGAGTCACTAGAGCTGACCCATCTCCCACCACTCTCCACTTTGACCACCATGCTCCAGCCACACTGCATCCTTCTTCTTGAACAAGCCAAGCCCATTCTAGCCTCTAGCCCTTTCCACTTGCGGTCTTCTCTGCCTGGGGTGCTTTTCCTTCAGTGCTTCCCATGGCTTGCTTTTCTCTTATCCCTCAGGACTCAATCAAATACCACCTCCTCAGCCCAAGTGTCACTGTTTCTGGACCCTAATCTAAAATGTTGTTGTTGTTGTTAGCTGCCATCAAGTTGGCCCCCAACTCATGGCAACTCCATGCACAATGGAATGCAACACTGCCTGGTCCTGCGCCATCCCCATGATTGGTTGGGGATTGGATTGTTGTGATCCATAGGGCTTTCATTGGCTGATTTTCCAGAAGTAGATTGCCAGAACTTTCTTCCTAGTCTGTCTTAGTCTGGAAGCTCCACTGAAACCTATTCAACATCATAGCAACACACAAGCCTCCACTGACAGATGGGTGGTGGCTGCACATGAGGTGCATTGGCCAGGAGTTGAACCCTGGTCTCCCACATGAAAGGTGAGAATTTTATCACTGAACCACTACTGCCCCGACCTAAGTTAGTTATCCGCATTCCCACCCCAGTCACCGCACTCCTATGTTTCATAACTTTCATAGCACCCACTGCTGCAATCAGAAATAACCCGTATTGTTGTTGATTTGTCATTGTCTTCCCCACTAGACTCAAGTTCCAGGAGAGCTGGGGCCAGGTGTGCCTTGTTCAAGGTTGTATCCCTAGAGTCTGATTGAAAGTGCTGAATAACTTTTTTTTTCAATTGAGGTAGGTACTAATATTAATCACATACTAGAGACAAGAAATCTGAGGCTCAGAGAAGTTAAGCCAGGTGCTCAAAGTCACAGAGATTGGAAGTGGCAGAGCCAGGATTTGAGCCCAGGTCTAACCACGTTGAAAGCTCACATTCTTGCCTGGAAGAAGCTGGCTTTTTCTAATGTAAACTTTCCTTCCCCTTCCCCTGTTATCAGGTGGCCATTCAATGCCACCTGTGCAACTGCATGCTAAAGAGACCCTGAGTCCCTCCGTTGGCTGTCATTCCTCCACCTACAGTGGGTGGGGGCCATGGCCTTGGACCATGGGAGACCTGGCGTTCCACCACCTGTTCCAGGAAATGGAGCCCAGTAAAGCCCGCTCCACCTGCCTTCTGCCCTATATTAGAGCCCCAGGCTCTGCGTCCCCTTCCATCATCTGGAAATTCACCATGCTGCGGCTGCTAAGTTTCCTTCTGTTTGTGGCCCTTGGTAAGACCCCAGCCTATATCTGTGCTTCTTGACCTGTGTGGGGCCAAGAGCCCTTGAAATCTGCCACCCACCCTGGGCCCCATTGCACCTAACACCTGGTTACATAGGAGGGGTCTCAGCTTGTGCCTGGGGCAAGATTATGGGGACTCTCAGCCTGGCACTGGAGCGGAAGAATGGAGGGGAACCATGGATGGACTGGCTCAGGAGAAAGAATGGGAGCATCAAAGGGCCGTGGTGGAAGTCCTCAGTGGGGGCAGTAAACAAAGTTTAATGGTTACGAGTGTGGGCTCTGTGGTTAGATTGCTTGGGTTGAAATTTCTGCTCCGATGCTTAATACCCAACTCTTCTCTCACACTTCCATCCGGCTCCATATCCTGGGGTCTAGCCTTTTCCTGGCTTCTCTGCCATACTATGTTATAGCTCAGGGTCACCTCCTCCAAGCAGCCTTCCTTGACTGATGATTATGGCAACAAATAATGTTCATTGAGTGCTTACTAGGCACAGTGCTAAGTGTTTTTCTTGTATTATCGTTTATTATCTTATATAATACTCGTAACAGCCCCCATGAGGTCAGTACTATGATTATCCCCCTTTTACAGATGGGAAAACTGAAAGTGACCCTCAGAGAGGTAAAGTAGCTCATCCTAGAATGAGGGGCTGTCTTACTTATCTGCTATAACGAAATACCACAAGTGAATGGCTTTAACAAACAAATTTATTTTCTCACAGTTTAGGAAGCTAGAAGTCTGAATTCTGGGTATCAGCTCTAGGGGAAGATTTTCTCTCTCTGCTGGCTCTTGAGGAGGGTCCATGTCTCTTTGAGCTTCTGCACCTGGGTGATCTTGATGTGGCTTGGTATCTCTCTTCTCCCATCTCTGCTTGTTCCTTTTATCTCTTGTAAGAGATTGACTCAAAACACATTACATTAATCCTGCCTTATTAACGTAACAAAAAACTCATTCCCAAATGGGATTATAACCACTGCCATAGAAGTTAGAATTTACAACACATAGTTTTTGGGGCCACAATTCATCTATAACAGAGACAGAGCTGTACTTTGAACCCAGGCAGTCTGACTCCAAAGCCTCTACTCTTTATGACAATAGCTATCATTTCTCAATAGCTCATGGGGCACCAGACACTGTTCTCAGTGTATCAGCTCCTTCAACCCTCCCGTTGAAGGAGGCCACATTTTTATCTCCAACCCTGGACCCCTGGCACTCTGAAAACCCCTGCTTTGCTCTGCTCACGGTTCAGATGTGGCCACTGAAGTCCAGAATGGGGAACGGGCTTGCACAGAATCACACAGCCAGTTTGTGGCACAGCTAGGACTAGGACTCAGGCCTCCTTTTTTCTTTTGGGGGTTCCCTGGATAACTGACACCTCCACTCTCCTCTCCAGCCTCGGGCTGTGGCAGACCAATCTACAACCCTTTCGTTCGCGTGGTCAATGGCGAGGACGCGGTGCCCTACAGCTGGCCCTGGCAGGTAAGAGCAACACCAGCTGCCGTAATTTCCACCACGGGCGCTGGACCCAATCTCTGATTGAGAAGCATCCAGTCTTCACCTACTGCTTCCCTTCCAATTCCCACTTCAGCTTCCAGAGGCAAGGAAATCTTTAGACAAGCTATTTCATATGGAGTTTTGCCCATTCAATCTACAACCTTCACTGAGCTGTTTGCATTTTAAATGTGGAATCTGGGGGGAGAGCAACGTTTAACTCAAGGGGTTGTCACACTGATGGAGGAATTTCAGGCACTGTCTTTAGGGAAAGAGATTTTGAGGCACCCATTTCTGGAGTTCTCAAATTATACAACAGGGCTGTAAAGTCTGACGGCAATAAGGTGGGTGAGGAGCTTTAGAGACCAGAGGAGGGAAGTCCAAGGAGCCCTGGTGACACAATGGTCAAGCACTCAGCTGCTAATCGAAAGGTTGGGGGTTCGAACTCACCAGCGGCTCAGACCCACCAGTGGCTCCACAGGAAAAAAGACCTGGTGATCTGCTCCCGTAAAGGTTATAGCCTAGGAAACCCTATGGGGCAGTTCTACTCTGTCCTATAGGGTCCCTGTGAGTTGAAATCAACTCGACAGCACACAACAATAACAACGGAGGGAGGCCAGAGGGGTAAGACTTGACGCACTGTTCAGTACAGTTGCCACGAGACACATGTGGCTATTTAAATTTAAAATAATTAAAATTAAATCACGTTAAAAATTCAGTTCCTCACTTGTACTCACCACACTTCAAATTCTCAATAGCCACGTGTGGCTGGTGGCGACCATATCAGATAGCACAGGTATAGAACATCGCCATCATCACAGAAAGTCCCACTGGACAGCACTAGTCTAGAGCAGGGGTCAGCAAACCTTTTCTGTAAAGGGCCAGAATGTGCAAATATTTTCAGTTTTGTGGGCCATGGGATCTCTATTGCAACAATTCAACTAAGGCATTATAGTGCAAAAGCAGCCACAGACAATGCATAAATGTATGAGTGTGGTTATGTTCCAATAAATCTTTATGCACAAAAACAGACCATGGGCTAGATTTGACCCATGAGCTAGAGTTTGCTGACTCTTGATCTACAGGCAACTTTTAAAAATCGGAATGTGTAGGAAATCGGGAGTGAAGCACAGGACTTGGGAAGATTGTACTTTAGAGGGCCCAAGAGGCCTTTAAAGATCTGGGGTTCAGAAGAACAGGGGGCCAGATGAAAAGAGGGCCTTACAGAACTCTCGAGAGACAGAACGTTTGAGGATGCCCAAGGGTATAGAGAATGCTGGGGTTCCCAGAAAGGTCACAGGGCCTAAGGAGGCCTTGGATAGTCAGAGTGTGATCCCAATGGAAAAGTGACAGGGCCACCATGAGCAGTTGTGCAGGTTGGGCACTGCACATTTCTAGAGGGTGCCACTCTTTTCTGTGTGAATGGCACTCCCTAGAGTTGTGCAGTATACAACCTACACAGCCATTGATGGCAGTCCACACTGTGGGGTCCAGACCACTCAGGGCTCTACTTCTCCGGCCACCAGGTCTCCCTGCAGTATGAGAAGAATGGGGCCTTCCATCACACCTGCGGAGGCAGCCTTATTGACCCGGACTGGGTCATCACTGCAGGCCACTGCATCTCGTGAGTTCTCTCACCTGCCCCTGTCCCTGCGTGAGACCCAGGCATGATGGGGCAGGGGGTAACTAGGGGAGGGAAGAGAGGCTGGTCAGGCTCAGACTGACCCCACCTCCACTGGCAGGAGATCCCTGACCTACCGGGTGGTGTTGGGTGAGTATGACCGAGCTGAGGAGGAAGGCCCCGAGCAGGTGATCCCCATCATCCCAGAAGACATCTTTGTGCACCCACTCTGGAACTCCAGCTGTGTGGCCTGTGGGTGAGTGAATCCTTAGGCCTGAGACCCAAGGCCTCCTCTACTTGTCCCTCTGAAACCCAGAGCCAATTCTGGGGGGACTCCCAGAAACAGTGCAGCTAAGTCCAACAGCTCATGCCCAGGTCTCACACACTGAGCATTGGAAAGATTAGAGTCTTAAGGACCATCCATGCCAAACCTGTCTCCCTACACAGGGGACAGCAGGACTCAGAGAGGGGCAGGGACTCCTACAACGCCGCTTGGCTTTCCCTCCCTCCTCCCATGCCAAATCCAAGGGTTCTTCCATTCAACAGACATTTCTTCAGTGCATCCTGGTTTCTCAATACCATGGGCAAAGGCGGAGCACTGGACTGAGAGTCAGGCTCCGGCACTGCCTTGCTGTGTGGCTGGGTCAAATCGCTGCACTTCTCTAGGCCTCAGTTTTACCGTCTGTCAAAGGGTGACCATGCAGCTGGGCTTCCTGGGTGGTTATAAAGGTCAAAGAGACAATCCCGAGTGAGAATGCTAAAGCCGGGCTGTGGAGCCCCCACAAATGTATGCAAAATTGTGTGTCTGTGTGGTTCAGCATTTTTCTGATGAGAGGGTCAGAGAAGGGTGCAGAAGCCCCCAAAGTGCAACGCAGGAGTGAGGGGCTACAAGCACTGAGAGCCCGAGCCATTCTCACTGGGCTCCTAGGGTAAGTGGAGAGAAAAACAGAACCCAGGTGCAATGACCTGAGTGACAAGCAGGAGAATGAAGACTTAGCGCAGTGGTTCTCAGAGCATGCTCCCCGGCCAGCAGCATCAGCATCCCCAGGGAACTTGCCAGAAATCTGTGGGCCTCAGCCCAGAATCACTGAATCAGAATCTCTGGGGTGGGGCCCAGCCACCTGTACTAAAGCCCTCCAGGTGATTCTGATGCAGGTAAAGTGTGAGAACCGAGAGGCTGAGGACGACTATGAAGGTCAAGGGTTGGTGTGGGTGGACTCGCCAGGAGGGTTTCCGAAGGTTGCTCAGCCTTGAAAAGGGATAGGGTTTGGTGGGAAAAGGAGCGAAGGGGGCTTCCCAGGGGTGAGTGTGGCTGGAGCAAAGGCTGGAGGTGGGATTGGGTCTGGTGGGAGGACCAGGCACCCTGTGACTCTTCTCTCCTCCCCCAGCAATGACATTGCCCTCATCAAGCTGTCACGCAGCGCCCAGCTAGGAGACACAGTCCAGCCTGCCTGCCTGCCTCCTGCTGGCTACATCCTGCCCAACGAAGCGCCATGCTACATCAGCGGCTGGGGCCGCCTCTATAGTACATGCTGACCCCCCTAGCCAGTCACAGAGACAGCGGGCAGGGAGACAGGGCCTGGGGCTGGGGGCTGGGGGCAAGCACAGGACCAGTCCTTGCACTTTTCTCCCATTCTTCCCCCAGCTGCAGCCTCCTCCACCTTCTCCTCCTCCCCTCCTCCCCATCATGTTCAGTGGAACATTTGTTAGTGTTTCCTGTCTGCTGGGAGTCCCTGGGTGGTGCAAATGGTTAAGTGCTCGACTGCTAGCGCCAGAGGAGCCTTGGAAGACAGGCCTGCAATCTGCTTCTGAAAGGTCACAGCTTTGAAAACCCTATGGAGCAGTTCTACTCTGACACATATGGGGTCACTACAGGTCAGAATCGACTCGACGGCAACTACCAACAACAACCGCCTGTGTGCCAGGCCATGTGGTCTCTATTGCAACCTCTGGGTGCTGGGGATGTTATGATGGGTGAAGCAGACAGGCCCATATAACCTGGTGGGAAGTGCATCACCATTAGGCCAAAGGAGCTGCCTGCCTTGGGACCATGCCACAACTCAGGGCTCCCAGGCCCTGACCTCCAGCCCCAACCCAAGCCCTGCACCCCGACGGCCCCCTACTTAGTGCTCCCTATCCCCATAGCTGGTGGACCACTCCCAGACATGCTGCAGCAGGCCCTGCTGCCTGTGGTGGACTATGAGCACTGCTCCAGGAGGGACTGGTGGGGCTCGGTCGTGAAGAAGACCATGGTGTGTGCTGGCGGGGACATCCTCTCTGGCTGCAATGTGAGTCAGCTCTTCCTAGCCCAGGTGGTGCTGGGGTACGGCCACATAACAGGGTAGCCAAGGCCCTGGGGTACCTCTGCCATCTGCCAGAAACCAGAGGTGGAATCTTGACTGCTTGCCCTATTCAGCTTCTAGACCAGATAGGACTTGCAGGAAGTTGGCATAGGCCAGGGACAGTGCCCTGGCCTGGGAGTCAAAAGCCCTGGTCTCAGGAGCTCATTGTCTCTCTCAGCTTGAACACTGACTGGACTAGGGGCAAGTCACTGTCCCTTCTCAGTCCTGAGACTTCCCCATCAGCACAGTAAGGGGTCCTGACACCAGACTCTGAAGTCATCTTCAGCTTTGTGGTTTTGAAGTTACAATTAAACATTAAGAATACTCTCATTGTATTATAAATAAGCATGAACAATAAGGAGCCCTGGTGGTGCAGTGGTTAAGCACTTGGCTGCTAAGTAGAAGGATGGCGGTTCTAACCCACCAGCCACTCCAAGGGAGGAAGATGTGGCAGTCCACTTCCGTTAAGATTTACAGCCTTGTCTATGAATTCTACCCTGTCCTGTAGGGTCGCTATGAGTCGGAATTGACTCGACAGCAACTGGTTTTTCGGTTCTATGAACAAAAATATGAATAAGTAATTGCGGTATTAATAAGAGCAACTACCGTTTATCAAGTGCTTCCTCTCTACTAGGCGTTCTGCTAAGGTCCTACATCTGTCGTCTCATTTCATTCTCACAAGATCCTGTTAGACAAACATTGTTGTTTCCCATCACAAACGAGCAAACTGAGGCTCCAAGAAATCAAGTAATACAGAGATTTCTCGAAATCCCCAGAGTTGGGAACCAGTTCCTCAAACCTCAGACCTGACTTCGCCCCTTACCTCTGTCTGACCATTTTAGGGTGACTCCGGAGGGCCCCTCAGCTGCCCTGCCGCAGATGGCAGCTGGCAGGTCCATGGTGTGACCAGCTTCGTTTCTTCTTTGGGCTGCAACACCGTCAAGAAGCCCACGGTGTTCACCCGAGTGTCAGCCTTCGAGGACTGGATCAAGGAGGTGAGGAGATGGATGAGCGGGAGGGCTTTGGCCACAGGCTCTTCCATGAGGTGCTGGGGCAATGGGTGAGGGACAGCAGATCCTTCGGAGGGGCAGAAAGGATCCTGGAAGGTCAGTGGTGGAGGGGCCCCTGGGTTTGGGGCTGTTTTCTGCTGCAACGCGGCCCACTGGACCTTGATGAAGGAACCCCGGTGGTGCAGTGGTTAAGCACTCGGCTGCTAACTGGAAAGTCAGCAATTTGGACCCACTAGCTGCTCTGAGGGAGAAAAGACCTGACAATCTGCTCCCATAAATATTTCAGCCTAGGAAACCCTATGGACAATTCTACTCGGTCCTATAGGGTCACTGTGAGTTGGAATCCACTCGACAGCGGTGGGTTTGGAGCTTGATGGCTTCTGGGTGGAGCTTTGAGCTACTGCTGAACTTCCCCCTTCCTTTTTTCAATGATTATTTGTGAAGTGCCTCCCCTGGCCTGGGTCCTTTATTGGCATGGAGGGTAGACAGAAGTGTCAGTCAAAGCACAAGCAATAAGAATGAAGTGTGGTGAGCGCCGTGATGGGGGAAGCAGCCAGCAGCGAGAGTACAGGCCTCGTCTGGAGATGGTGGCCAGGGAGGATTCATATTGTTCATGATAAAAGTAATAGTCCCCATTCATACCAAACCCAAACCAAATCCGTTGCTGTCAAGTCGATTCCAACTCATAGCGACCCTATTAGACAGAGTAGAACTGCCCCATAGGGTTTCCAAGGAGCAGCTGGTGGATTCGAACTGCCGATCTTTTGGTTAGCAGCCAAGCTCCTAATCACTGAACCACAAGGACTCTGGTCCCCATTTATAGACATTTAAATATATGCCAGGCACTGTGATGAACACCTTGGTTAATAGTTTAATCTAATCAAGAACCCCCATGAGCTGCTGTGTATATTTTCAACAAAACTGAAACCAAACCTGTTGCTGTCAAGTTCATCCCGACTCACAGCGACCCTACAGGACAGGGGAGAACTGCTCCATAGGGTTTCCAAGAAGCGGCTGGTGGATTTGAACTGCTGACCTTTTGGTTAGCAGCCAAGTTCTTAACCACTGCACCATCAGGGCTCCATATTTTCAACAACAACAAATAAAATAAATTATTAAAAAAAAAAACCATGTAGTTCACCTAACCAAAACTGTATTGGACCAAAGGGAAGACATGAAAGCTAGTGGCTTCTAATAAGCTCCTTTTTGCTCTTGTTTCTCTATAAACTTGTATGTAGTAGTAACTTTCTGATAGCCAAAATGGACATTTTCATGACGAGAAATTCACTTATTAATAATATTTTGAAAAAAAAACAAAAACCCTAGGAAAGGGGTTTCCTAATTCTGGCAATAAAGTGAAACATTTCACATGTTATTCAGTCTAAAAAAAAAAAAAGAACCCCCATGAGGTAAGTATTATTATTAGCCTCATTTTACAGGTGAGGAAACTGAGGCTCAGCGAGGTCAAGTCACTCTCCCAGCATCACATAGCTAATAAATAGTATGGCTGGGAGTTGAACCCAGTTCCATCTGGCTCCTCACTAAACTCTTCTGCTTTTCTTCACCTGTCTTTCAGACCATAGCAAGCCACTAGAACCAAGACCTGGCTGGCAGTGCTGATTCACGCCCTTCCAAAAGAATAAAAATCTCTCAGAAAGTCCCCTCTTGTGCCTTTCTTCCTTCTTTGCCTCACCTCTTCCCCTCTGGCCCATTCCTAAAATCCTAGATCTGATATGCAGACATTAGACTTGATGAACGCGGCCGTTTGAAGATGAGAAAAAAAAAAATGAGTCTAGAGAGAGCAAGAGAGTTGCTATAGGGTGACCAACCATCTCGGTTTGCCTAGGACTCGGGGAGGTTCCCAAGAGGCAGAATTTTCAGGGCAGAAATTGGGAAAGTCCCCCGTGAACCAGGACAAGTTGGTCACCCTACCTTAGAGTCACACATAAATCAGTTGCTTTTCAATACAGGCATAAAAACATGGTAGAATCTGCAAAAAAAAAACTAACCTGGCCATCCTCTCAGGAGGCTCATCGTGGAGTGGGAAGGACCATGCATTTTTGGCTTCTGGTAACGGACTGGAGAAGGAGGTTGTGGTCATTCAGTCATTCAGCAAACATTTCTTGCTCCATAGGAGGGTTCAGAGGGGGAAGAAGATGTGCTCTGAAGTGGCTCGTTATTTAGAGAGGAAATGAGCCTATCAGAGTCATGCATTAAACATTTAGTAGGCACTTGCTTTGTGGCAGGTTCAGGGTGGGGAGCACAAAAGTGAGTATAATGGATTGAATTTTGTCCCCCCAAAATATGTGTTCTAAATCGTAACCCCTATACTGTGGTTATAATCCATTTGGGGAATGGGTTTTTGTTATGTTAATTAGACAGTATGAGTGTAGGATGTGTCTTTAGCGGGGCTTCAGACCAGTTCATTTCGGCTTGACTCCCTGCTGAGAATTTGTATTTCCACCGCAGATATACTGAATCAGAATCTCCTTTTTTTTTGCATCTACGGTTTAACGAGATCTCCAAGTGATTTTTATGGATCCCCTGGGGAATCTCATTAAAATGTAGATTCTGATTCAGTATATCTGAGGTGGAAATGCAAATTCTCAGCAAAGGGTTGAGCCGAAACACACTGGTTCAAAGCTCTGGTCTTGAGTCAATCTCTTTTGAGATATAAAAGAGATTAAACAACTTGAGAAACTATTCTGCAAACCTTCGTCTAAGGTACAAAAAAAAAAAAGAATTATCTATATGAGATCAACTGACAACAGCAGCTCAAAAGGCTTGATGGGAAGCCTGGGGGCAGTGAGTTGAGGATAATAGTGATGGAATAATTTGGAAAAGGATAGTGTGAATAGCAGCACAACCGAAAGACTGTAATCGGTGTCACTGAATTGTACACGTAGAAACTTTTGAAATGGTCTTACTTCGGCTATGTATATTTTCACTAAAAAAAGTGTCCTCCAAGTTCGAGAAGGGAGAGTGTTGACATGTCGTGGGGTTGTTAACCAATGTCATAAAACAGTATGTGTACTGACTGTTTAACGAGAAACGATTTATTCTATAAACCTTCGTCTAAAGTACAATTAAAAAAATTTTTAAAAAAAGAGATTAAACAACTAAGAGAGCAAGCAGAGATGAGGGAAGAGAGATGCCAAGCCACATGAAGATTACTCAGGAGCAGAAGCTCAAAGAGACAAGGACCTTCCCTACGAACTGACAGAGAGAGAAAGCCTTCCCCTAGAGGAGGCACCCTGAATTCAGACTTCTAGCCTCCTGGACTATGAAAAAATAAATTTCTGTTTGTTAAAGCCACTCATTTGTGGTATTTCTGTTATAGAAGCACTAGATAACTAAGACAGTGAGTAAGATACTGGTCTTGCCCTCAGCGAGAGCCCCTTCTGCAGGCAAGAGCAGACTCATACACAGATGCACATGCAATGTTACATACCAGGTCGGAGCCCAGGGAATTGTTGTTGAGGTGAAAAAGACCAGTGCCAGGCAGACAAACATATCATAAAAACAACTGACATGGCCCCAGCAAAGACACACACGCAATATATATATTTATTTTAATTTTTTTATTGTTATAAATATATATATAACATTATATATAAGAAATTATATAACAATTTAACTTTTTCACACGTACAATTTAGCGACCTCAATTACATTAATCATGTTGTGCAACTGTCACCAATATCCATTGCCAAATTTCCATCACCATAAACAGAAACTCACTACTTCCTAAACAATGACTCCTCCTTTCCCCCCTCCCTCTCTCTCCTGGTAACCACCACCAAACATTGGTCTCTATACGTTCTCCTATGCTGGCTATTTCATGTGAGTGAGATCATACAGTATCCGTTGTTTTGTGATTGACTTACTTCACTCAACATAATGTTTTCAAGGTTCATCCATGTTGTCGCATGTATCAAGACTTCATTTCTCTTTATGGCTAAGTAATATTCCACTGTATGTATTTACCACATTTTTTTTTAATCCATCCATCTGTTGATGGACATTTGGGTTCTTTCCACTTTTGGCAATTGTGAATAGTGCTGCAATGAACAATTGGTGTTGTCAAAAACCTAAATGCACAGAGAAACACCAAAATTAGTGTAACAGAATATATTTATTGTGAGTAGATATGATTCGAATCAAGCAGTGTTAACCTAAATGTGTTGGGAAGGTGCTCCTAAGAGGGGACAGTAAAAGCGGGTTATGTAGGTCGTTGTTATGTTAATTTCTAAGGAGATAGCATAAAGCACAGTGCAGGGTTTCGGAGTCTGTAGGTTAAAGAGTCACCAAGGACATGTCATCCATCCTAAAACATAGCCTCTAGTCAGACCCTGGAGTTCCTGCTTCTCGAAGCTGGCTGCACATAGATAATTTTCCAAAAGAACCCAATGCCTAAGGCAAAACAATCTCAGCTAAACTGCTTACTAGGCTATTGATTGACTTGAAGGTGACTCCAGGCTCAAAGTTCCTTAAAGGCTCAAGGTTCAAAAGGACACCTAAGGGCAAATGGCCTGTGTGGGTCACCCTAATTTCATGAACCCAGAAATCTGGGTTCCAGGAGAATAAAAACGGTTTTGTCAGTGTACATGTGTCTGCGGCACTGCTTTCATATCTCTTGGGTATATATTGTCCCATTGCATCCTTCCTTTGAAAATTATATTTTCAGTTTTGAAAAGTTTAAAAGATACAACATGGAGAATAATATAGCAAAACTGTCCCTCCGGAATGAACAAACTTCACATTTTTGCTTCATATTTTCAAAAATAATACTTGCAGCTCATGTGGAGGTCCCTTTGTACTCCTCCTAGAGGTCATCACTATCATAGGTTTGGGACTGTCCTTCTGAGCACATACTAGGATAGCTCTTGCCTGCCCCATGAAGTTGGGTTGGGCCATGTGGCTTGCTTTGGCCAAGGTGAAACTTTGAGAGACAGGGCAATTTTCCCAGCTCTTTTCCCTCTGCCATGACAACTGGTGACTGCTGGTCAGCCTGGTCCCAGAGTGGAAGACATGGAGCAGAGCCTTAGCTGATCTCTGATGACATGCAGCACAAAAACTTTGTTCTTATAAAAAAAACAGTTGCTGTTGATTCTGACTCATGGCGATCCTGTGTGCGTCAGAGTAGAACTGTGCTCCATAGGACTTTCAATGGCTGATTTTTTGGAAATAGATCGCCAGGGCTTTCTTCTGAAGCACCTCTTGAACCTCCAATCTTTTAAGCACATTAACCGTTTATGCCACCCAGGGAATCCTTGTTATAAGCCACTAAGATTTTGGGTGTTTATTACAGTGGTATGGACCTAACCTACCTGATTGGTAAAATGAGTTAGGTGTTTATTCTTCTACTCCATGCTTTTATATTTTTACCACATATACTAATATCCACGGAGCCCTGGTGGCGCAGTGGTTAAGAGCTCCGCAGCTAGCCAAAAGATTGGTAGTTCGAATCCACCAGCTGCTCCTTGGAAACCCAATGGGGCAGTTCTACTTTGTCCTATAGGGTCACTATGAGAGAGAATTGACTCGACGGCAAGGGGTTTATACTAATATCTGTAAACAATGTATTGCATTGTTCGATTTTTAAAAATACATGCATGGCATCATGCTGTATATATTGTTCTGCAACTTGCTTCTTTGACTCCATATTATGTTTTTAAGGTCCATCCATGCTGATTTATATATCTCTACTTTGTTGCTGTTAATTTTGTAGCAAATCCCCTTGCATAACACTAGCTATTTATCTGCTTTCCCCTGCTGATGGACATTTGGAGCAGTGCCAATTTTTTTGTGATTACAAACAGTGCTTCAATGAACGTCCTTGGACATTATCTCCAGGTGTGCATGTTGGGGAGTTTCTTTGGAGTAAATTCCAAGAAATTGAATTGCTGAGTGGGAGGGTGTGTTCATTTCTAACTTTACCAATGGCCAAATTGCTCTCCAAAGTATATCTACAATACTTCTTAAAATTCCTTTTTCTTCTTTTTCCATCCACTGCCCCCACACATTACAACTGCCCTGAATTTTTCTCCTAAAACCACTCCTGCACCCCAGCCCTCCTCCAGAAAAATCTCCTCTAGCCCTCACTCCCACTCCAGACGCTTATAAAAGCCCAAGAACTGGTCTGGCAAGGCCGGCTGCAGGTGGGAACAAGGAAGAGACTGACTCAAGCACAGCAGAGATGGTGGGGGAGGACAGGAGAAAATTCTAAAACTATATTTTTATTGAGTCAGACAGACAATGCAAGCTGACACATGCAACTGTCATGAGTTCCCGAGGCACAGCAAGGTTACAAAGGCTGAGTGTCGACTTCCTCCCCATGGGTCAGGGAAGGGCCCTCAGATAATATTCCGAAACAGTTTCAGGATAAAGGGCAGTCAGACGTGTGAAATCCCACCCTACGGCTGGGCAGTGGGCCCTCAGAGGCTCTCCATCCTGTCTCAGGGAGTGGCTGGAAACTGCTATGATCCCTTTCTCACCACTAAGAGGCAGCAGAGAGGCAGGAAATCTTGCCTAAAAGTGCCAACAATTCAATAAAAAATTCCATTTTATTCTTCGATTTTTTAAATCTACAAGTCTCAACAATTTCAGTCTTTTAAAAATCAGTCAATAATTTAATTTTTTGAGTAGTGATGAGAGTGTCAATGCCAACAATTTTTTGTTTTGTTTTGTGTTTTTAATCATAAAGGACCAGCCATCCACTTTTTAAAAAAACACAAAGTCAGTAATTCAATTCCCTTTAAAAAACGATAAAGGATCAGTGTTGCAATGTTCTCTTTTTAATCATACGGTATCGACAATTGAGTTCTGATTTTTCAAGTGTTAATAATTCATTTTTTAAATCTTAAAAGAGTGAGGAATTTCATTCTCTTTTCCTTTTTCCAGAATGTTAATATTGATCACATTTTAGAAACTTCCACTTTGGGAAACAGATTTTTAAAAACCAAGCACATTCCCACGTCTCTCACACAACTGCTGTATCACTGATATGCTTTCTTCCACTTCTTTCTCTTTGCATTTAGAAAACCTATCAGCAATTGAGGGCAGTGGTGGTTCAGTGACAGAATTCTGTGCTTCCATGAGGGAGAACCAGGTTCGAATCCCAGCCAATGCACCTAAAGCACAGCCATCACCTGTCTGTCATTTGAAGCTTTCATGTTGCTATGATGCTGAACAAGTTTCAGCAGAGCTTCCAGACTAAGACAGACTAGGAAGAAAGGCCTGGTGATCTACTTCCAAAACATCAGACAATGAAAACTGTACGGATCACAACAGTCCAATCCCATTGTGCGTGGTGTCACCATGAGTTGGGGGCCAACTTGATGGCAGCTAACAAAAACAATTAGATTTAATGGTCACTGACCAAGCACCTAGTAGCATGCTGTGCCAGGCATGAGGCAGAGAAAGATGACCCAAACTCAGGCCAGGCACTCACGGAGCCTGTACTCCAGCTGGGAAGCCAAGGAGTGCACACTAGTAGTGATCTTGTGAGGCTAACTTGGCTCTGTGTTCTAACGGAGGTCAAGTGATGTGATGCCTAGGGAGCCGAGGTCACATCACATTGGAATGGGAAGTTCACGATGGTCCTCAGATCAAGATGATGGAGGCATCAAGGGATGCCTACCAGATGTGAATGTCAAACCTTCTTCTGTTGATTAACACCAGAATATAATGCTGACCAACCTTGTTCTCTAAAATCAGAGACGGCCAGAAACTTTGCTGTTTGCAATCATGTCAGTGAGAACAGAGCAGCCCACTCTTGCCTCATGGGTCTGAGCCAGATTTGACACAGAGAAACAACCTGTATTTCCAACCCAGGTGCAGAGCTTCAGAAAAGTTTTTTGGATGCAACAGTCCATAATTATCTTAAATATTATGTCCAAGGAAACAGGCCCCTGAATTCACTTCTCAGCCCAAGCCAGATTTTAACCCCTTTGTACACAGCCCAGTTTGCTTTGAGCCTATCAAAACACTTCATTTCAATTTCACCTAAATTCCACCTTTCCCCCAAATCCTACGATAATCCTGTTTCTTCCTTTGCTTGATGAGGCACCCCATGGGTCCTCCAGTGTGCTTTCTCTTCTTATGCATCAAGTTAATAAACCTAACTTAGCCAAACTGTAGGTGTGTCGCCTGGTAGTCTTTACCAGATTGACTTTAACTCAAAACTCAAGTCTTTTCTGTCCATTCATTAATTCACTAATTTCACCCAGCATTGCCTAGGTTTTGTTTTAGGCACTGAGGACATGGTGGTGACAGGACAGACAAGGTCCTGGCCTTGTGGACCCTGCTACTAATGGATGAGATAGCAAATAAACAGGTAATCACAAAAGTGGGGTAACAGGCTAGAAAGGGACTGGATGAGCACCTTTAAGATGGGGGGAAGGGACAGGGAAGCTGGCTCTGGAGAGCTGACATTTGAGCTGGAACCTGGATTTACAGATGTCAAGAAAGAGCACTGCAAGCAGAGAACAGCAAAAGCAGTCAAAGTGAGTTTGCTGTGTTTGCAAAATAACAAGGCCAGTGTGGCTTCTATATATCTATCTGTCATGGTTTGAATTATGTCCCCCGCAAAAATGTGTGTATCAATTTGGCTGGGCCATGATTCCCAGAATTGTGTGGTTGGCCTCCATTTTGTGATTGTAATTTTATGTTAAAGAGGATTAGGGTGGGATTGTAA